AAATTTCAAAAACAATACAAATTAAAACAAAGTATGATTACCCTAAGGGGATCTGCAGTCGGCCCGCTTCGTTTACCAATTATCAGTATTGCTGCAATCTTCTTCTGTTTCTTGTTTAAAAACAGATTTTTTACGTCTAAATTAAAAGGTTTCTAATGAAAATTTCAAGAAAAACTGTTTGATTTTATTTACATAGATTTAGTTTCAAAATTTAGTTCTTGATTCAATTGGGAAAGAAAAATAAATCTAATGATTTCGCTTGTCCTCTATTTAAACTTCTTAAATTTTATTTTTCTGTAATGTATTTAATTTTTGAAATGATTGTTTAGATTACTTGAGTCGAAAAAATTGCTCAGAAATAGTACATTATTCCTACTGTTTTTTATAATTTATAATTATTTTTTTTATTATTCTTTTCAAGTGGATACGTTGATTGAACAATGTAACGTACTTATGGTTGAATAATAGAAAAACCGATAAGCACTGTTTTAAATAAGTAGGCAACTTCAACGGATTACATGAAAACAAAGAAATGCTACATTATTGTAAAACCTATTATTTGGGACAACAGTTAAAATCAACATCGGTAAATGCATTTAAATTAGCAGTTAAATATTTCACTTTTATATTTTTCTGAAATTTTTATTTACATTGGCAACCAAAGAAGATCGTCAAGAGAGAAAATAAGATTTTACCATGTGATTTTTCTATTCAATTAGTATCGATGAGTAGCGGTGATCATTTTTTTCTTATTTTTATCTGTATAAAAGCATAAAAACAGTATAATTTTTGCACATCAGTGACTTTCTTTAACCCCTTTAAGAACGGCAGAATGAAAAAGAAGCGTTTTTCCATGTCCGCATGCTTCAATAGTATAAATACAAAAGAGTACATTTGCTTAATAAAAGGAGATGTAATAGTTATGAGAGTACTTATTGAAATCACGTCCATTGTTTCTTGGGTTGCTAGAGTTTGAAAGGCTCGTTTTAAAAATGATACCGTGGGCTGGATGAAAAATTATGTTGATTGTTGATGGTATAAATAATTGTTGATGATTGCTGGTTGATGAAATAAAATTAGACGAATATTTAAAAGAAAAAAGATCACACTGTTAGAATTTTATCTCCAAAATGGTAAAATAACCGACTGTAGTCTGTCCATGCGATTAACCGTAAAGTTTACGGTAAAATACCTTTTTTACCTTTACGGTATTGAGACTATTTACTATTAGCATGGTTATAAAACCATATATACAAAACAATACAGATTTTAACCATTCACAACTAGCATGGTTTCAAAATCATAAAAAGGAAATTTTAGTGGACATAGGAGGTGGGCTTTTCGTTAAGTAACGGGCATTGGAGATTGCAGGTAACAAATTGAGGATTGCGTTGTTGTGTGTTGAAGGGAATGGAGGAATTACTTATGTGTCAACGCTGAGATTCGAACCCCAGTTCTGTCGGTCATGAAAACGACAGATTACCCCTCTCAGCTATAACCAGCATGCTGGTGAAGAACTATGTGGCTTCATTAGGGGGATTCAGTTGGTGCGATAAATTTCACGCTGTTTAACCACAATCGATGAAAGCAGTTAAAAAACGGTTGTTCTCTCAGTTAACAGTTTAAGTACTATATTATTTATGATTATTTAGCAGTTTTCTTTGTATATGGTAAAATCACAATTAAATAAATAGTTATTTAACCAGATTTTCAGAGAAATTTCTAACTGCGTAGTATGGTTTAAAAGAATCGACAAACCCGATTATATTGATAATATTCTTACTGCCAATTGCAATGTAGATATTTGAAGTGTGAAAGTTACTTTAATCAGTATTAAATTCAAAAGTATTGCTCAAAATACCAAGAGATTAAAACAAAATTTATGTTAGAAATCATTTCAAGGAATCGTCTAAAAAGGATAGATAAACTGAAAACGTATAGCTTACTTACTTAAAATTCAATTCAGAATTTTTCTTAATTTTTGTTTTTTTGTTTTTTTGTTTTTTTTTTTTATAACTTATTTCCGACAATTTTAAACCGGAGAAATTAGAGATAAGAGTAAAAAATATTTCAATTACTAAAAAGAACTCAATCTTTCAACTCCCTTGAATTGTATACTAATGATTTAAAATTATACGTTTGTTTAAATGAGTTCATGCTTTATATGATCTTTGTATCAAAATGTATTGGCAATTTGAAAACTCAATAAAGTATAAAAGAGAAGAGACAGAAATGTACGATTTGCAGTATTTGTGTTGAGGAAATTTAAATTTTTCCTCCTTTTCTCCAAACTTAATTTACCATTTTTCATCAGGAAATGATTCAGAATATGAAAACTATAGAACAGCTATACTAAAAAAAATTAAAGCAAACTGAAAAGCACATTTATTTAACAAATTATGAAAAAAATATAAAGAAAGAAAATTTTTGTCCCATTAAATCATTTCATTTTACATTATCATAAATATTTTCTTAATATTCTATATTATTTTCCTGCTTTTAATAAAATTTTTGATTTTGACTTACACTACATTATAAATTTTTAAACGTTAAACATTTAATTTATTGTTATGTGAATAGTTGAAAATTTTAATAAACCAATAAAATTATAAAGGACTTGCTTTCAAAATTGAGTGACATAGAAAGCTGTGAATGGAGGAAAGAAATTGAGGAATGATAAGATATCGTCCTCGATCAAAACATCAACAACTAAATAGTTTCATAGGAGTCGTATCTTTAAGTAATTGCGTGTTGCCAATTAATAGTAATGATAAACAGAAAGTCATGTAATAGAAAAAAAAACAAGTTCAGATGCGATTTTTGTTTCATTTCAATGTTGTGTGAAAGTAATTTTAGTGGATTTCAGAACTCCAGTCAGTGCATAAAGGATTAATATCTTTTAGTTTTAGAAGAATACAAAATTAANGAACCCGTTTTTAGGGTTTAGCCTTTTTTTTTTTTTTTTTTTTAAACTTATTTTCGACAATTTTAAACCAAAGAAATTAAAGATAAGAGTAAAAAATATTTCATTTAATAAAAAGAGCTCAATCTTTCGATTCCTTTGAATTGTATATTAATGATTTAAAATTATACGTTTGTTTAAATGAGTTCATGTGTTGTATGATCTTTGTATCAAAATGTATTGGCAATTTGAAAACTGAATAAAGAATAAAAGAGAAGAGACAGAAATGTACGATTTGCAGAATTTGTGATGCGGAAATTTAAATTTTTCTTTCTTTTCTCCAAACTTAATTTACCTTTTTTCATCAGGAAATGATGCAGGTTATGAAAACTATAGAACAGCTATACTAAAGAATTCAAACAAACTGAAAAACACCTTTATTTAACAAATTATGAAAAAAATTTAAGGAAAGAGAATTTTTGTCCTGTTAAATAATTTCTATTTTACATTTTCACAAATATTTTCTTAATATTCTATATTATTTTTAAACTTTTAATAAAATTTTTGGTTTTGACTTACACTGCATTATAAATTTTTAAACGTTAAACATTTAATTTATTGTTATGTGAATAGTTGAAAATTTTAATAAACCAATAAAATTATAAAGGACTTGCTTTCAAAATTGAGTGACATAGAAAGCTGTGAATGGAGGAAAGAAATTGAGGAATGATAAGATATCGTCCTCTATCAAAGTATCAACAACTAAATAGTTTCATAGGAGTCGTATCTTTAAGTAATTGCGTGTTGCCAATTAATAGTAATGATAAACAGAAAGTCATGTAATAGAAAAAAAAACAAGTTCAGATGCGATTTTTGTTTCATTTCAATGTTGTGTGAAAGTAATTTTAGTGGATTTCAGAACTCCAGTCAGTGCATAAAGGATTAATATCTTTAAGTTTTAGAAGAATAAAAAATTAATTAATATTATTTTTTTATACATTCTTTATTAAAAAAGTAAACTAAAAGCCAAAATACTGCATTTCCAATTATTTTTGCACATAATTATTAAAGAATAAAAAAGTATTAAATTCTAAAATAAAATTTAGAGAATAGGAATATATTAAATATAATTTTGCTTAGTTATAAAAATGTAAACCTAAAGAAAAAATACCTCAGAGCCAAATCTTTTTTACACATAATTATTAAACTTCATCATCATCATCATAGTTAGTCAGACAGCCCAATGTGAGCCAATGACTTCCTCTGAAGATTTCTCCATGACGACTTCCGATTTACCTTTGATCTCCAATTATTTTCATTAATTGCGAGAAAATCAGACTTCACTGAGTCAGCCCATCTTAACCGCGGTTTTCCCCCCTTTCTTGTTCCATAGGGTCTAAAAAGCAGCATCTTTCTTATTGTATTATCATCATTCATTCGAATCACGTGAGCCATCCAATTCATTCTATTTATTTTTATGTATTTAATAATATCAGGTTGCTTATAAATCTAGTACAGTTGAAAGTTAAATCTTGTTACGAAATCCTTAGATAATTATTAAGCAATAAAAATATATATTAAACTAAAGACTAAAATTTAAAGAATAAAAATTCAATAAATATTATTTTTCTCTGTGAATATTATAAATAATAGAAAAGTAATTCAAGAGGGACCATATTACATTCCCAATTCTTTTTACAAATATTCGTTCCTTTTCGAGCAACACGTTCTTGTACGTCTTAGCGCATAATTATTTTTGCAGAAAGTTAAAACAACAATTATGTTTTAACTTTTTCGTTACCTATCCCAGTTTATAGCGAGACGAAATTTTTCCCTTCAGTTTATGTCAATAAAAGGGATCATCTTTCATCTAATATTTCTTAATTTTTAGCAGAGGACTCAATTACATTTAAAACACTTCTTATTTATAATTCTATCATAAGTCAATTCAAATGAGGCCAAAGTTGAATTAAAAAAAAAACGCAACCCTACTTAAGAAAACAAAAAATACAGGATTCAAATAATTTGAACATCAGCGAACAACTAAACTCTCCTTGTTTTCCGAGACAATAAAAAAACATGGTTGACGATGTAAAACATAAAAGTAACAATCCTAAAGAGGAGAAGAAGAATAGTTCGTGATTTATCGGATACTGATGGAGTAAAATGGACAACAGGGGGCGTTGTGCTGTTGAGTTTCTTCGGTAAAAGCACACTCCTTTAGTTGTGTGGGAATTTCACCGGTATAGGATTGAAAGATTGAGTTTATTACAGGCTCTGAATGCTTCAGTTTACGAATCGATTTTATTTCGATTGAACCCCTATTTCATTTCAATAGTTAATTAAATAAAATTATTTAGTTTAAAATTTTGAAATTTTTAGAATGCTATAGATATTGATGAATGTAGTAAGTTGAGAAAAGAAATACATTTCAGCGTGGAATGTTGAATGAAATCGAACGTAAATACAAACTTCACAACATTTTAAAAAGACATTTCACAGCCTGAATGGAAGAAACTTTCAATATCTATTTTTCTAAATGAAGTAAGTACTATCCTTTCTTTCTTTCTTTCTTTCTAGTATTCTTTTCCTCAAATTAAATATGAAATTTAATGCAAAAATAAGATAAAATTGTTTTCTTATACCAAAATATGAAGAAAAAAAGTTTCGAAATGCACTACAATATAGGTATTGTATAATGTTTTTATAAGTATTGAGAGACAAAATTTAATGATTCCATCATAACATTACAATAATTTAAGATTCATTTAGCATGTTTCTTTCTTAAAATATCAAAAATAAAATAATTTTATTTATATTGAAAAACAATTTTATTTAAATACATATGTTGCAAACAATTATTGTGTTTTCAATTGGAACAAAAATGTGTAATGCTTTAACAAGCATTATTATTTAAATGTTTAAGATTAGCAGTATTACAGGCTTAGAATGTTTTGCGCTTCAATGTCAATTTTGAATAATTAAATGCGTACTAATAGTTGCCTAAAACGTTCTTAATTTTGTTTCAGTTGAATGCATAATCATTGTTAGCTTCTTAAGACTCTTGGAAAGCGAGAATGGGAATATATTATTTTTATTTTTAGAAAAGAACATGTTTAAATAGTTCTGAAAATACTGCGTTTATCAACTTGAAATTTTGTTTAAAATTTCATTGTGTTTATTTTTGTATTTAATACAGAAATTCCTAAGTTCTGGGGTGAGACACAAATTTAGATACGAGTGTCGAAAAAACAGGGGAGTTGAGTAAGACGAGTAAATAACAGAAAAAACATATTAAATAATTCATTAAAAATGCAAGCATATTCATAATCATTAGTTGACTGAATTGAGGATATATTTCCTATAATTTGCTGATCTCCTGAAGGAGAAAAAAAAAACGCAAATACAAATAATGCTGAGGGTATTTTGTAACTACCTTACTTAATCTATATTTTTAGAATACTTTTTTAAAAAAATGAGGTAAGAAAGTATGCACATTAAGGGCCATGCATCAAAATATAAACTCGAAAGACAAATAATGCTGAGGGTATTTTGTAATTACCTTCCTTAATATATGTTTTTACAACTCTTTTCAAAAAATGAGGTCAGAAAGTATGCGCATTAAGGGTTATACATCAAAGTTTGAACTCAGAAAAAGAAATGCTATATAAATCTTGCAAATTCCATCCAGGGCAGATGGCGCTAAGAGCACCAAAACCTGTTGGATTGGTTGATGAGTCTAAGAGAAACTGAAAGGTGCAAGAAACACATGCAACTTCCATTTAACAATCAAACTTGTTTTGATATTTTTTCATTCCTATTCCTTTCATTCTTGCCAGAGATTCTCTAATTTCAGAGATTCTCTAATAATAAGTTTCATTATTATTGATTGCCATTGAAACACATTAAATCACTTCATGTATTAACAGTGAAAACAGAAACAAAGGCAAAAATTATTATTGTTTACTTTCAAATTTTGAGTGTTAAGAGATTTTTTTGCTCGAATTGCAGTGACGCAAAATTTCTTCAACGCCTTATACTTATGCTGTCAAAAGTGTTTCAAATTATTTCGAAATTGAAAAATCGCAGAAGCAGTAATCAAGACACATGGACGCATTTGATTCGGCTATGTCATAGACATGACAAAAAATAATAATAATAATAATAACACTATTATGTATAATGTTAATAACAATAGTCTACACTATATTATTAATAACAATAATCAACAATATTGTATTATAAATGGTATACATAAAATATTGCGGATTGGATCAACGAGGGGGAAATTAAAAAAGGATTTAAATGTTTGTAAATTAATATTGTATTGTTTTTCTAATACATATTCAATTTTATATACATTAATTATCTCAGAAAGTTAAACAGTATAGTAAGTTAAATTATATCAGGTTAATGCACAATAATGCTTGAAAATGTATGAATATATTACAACTCCTCTTTCTCTTCTAAATACTTTTCAGCAGAGAACAATACTGTGCAAAATGTTTCAATTTGTTTTGACATATATGCATTTGAGAAAGTGAGGATATTTTGAAAATATTTTTAAATACATATTGTTATATAAATTTAAACAATTCCGAAAATACATTTTAACAGTTTGAAACTGACAAATGATTTTATATTGTCAAATAATAAGTATTTTTTTTTTTTTTGGAATCGTAAATGAAAACTTTCGAAAAAACATCCCGAATATATCTTTCTTGTATAAATGCCAGTATTAAGGTTTTCGCTATTTTAAAATCTTGATTACAAAGAAACTTTCTTTAAGATTGTAATGACAAGCTCGAGTCAGAAGTTGGTTTAATGTCTCTCTCTCGAATAAAAGTAATAATATCAACAAATAACTTAATATCAAATCGAGCATAACAAATATTTCGGACATTCCCCAAAGCGACTATGTGATTGGTGACAGTCGACATTCTCGTGATTTCATTCATTCATGGTAACATATATATATAATGTTATCACCGTTGTTTCAGAAAAGTTTCACCACGCGTGTGTTTTGATCTACTGAACAAAACTTCACGCAGAAAAATGATGATTCATTAGCAGAAGTGTATTCTTATGTTCACATTTTAAATAAATGTGCTATCTATACAGCCTTAATGATTTTTGGTACTTTAAAAAAGATTTGAATTAGTTTTAAAGTTTACAAATATTAATGTTTGTTTTTTTGGCAGCTTTTATTTAAATTTATTTACGTGTAAATCGGCTGGCATTTAAAATGCGGGTTATTTTAACTTACTGCAAATAAATATGGAGAGTTTTTTTTAAAAAAAATCAGTTCGTGTTATGTACATTTAGCTGATTTGGGCTAACAACGATTATGGGTCCTGTTTTTTTCACAGCTGTATCTGTCCCGCTAAAGATCCCATAGCAATGTGCTGGAACAGTTCTAGCAGATTTGTGGTTGACAAGTAACAGAAATCGCAAGTGTAGCCTCTAATATACTTAAAAACAAAAGGTGTAAAAGAAATTAGAGTAAACTCTGCGATATTGACTGAAACGGAAGCGAAAATGAGCAAGTTCAGATATTGCAAATCAACTACGAAGTTGCCTTAGTTGATGGTGAGTGATTAAGAACGAGACGAAGCCCCCAACAAAATTTAAATAAAGTGTAAAAATAATTGAAGTACAATCTTGGATGCTAAAGAAGACTAAAAGTGAATGAATGAATGAATTGATTCATTAAATTATGCATAAACATATTCAGGAATAGGAGATCAATCGCAAGCTAAAAGCAAAAATCCTCTAATACACATACAAAAAGGGTGACAGGTAAGAACGGCTATAAATAGTCTCTAGTTTTATTTGTTCGTTTAAAATGGATTTTTTTAAATTCACCTTGTGTGCAAATTCGAGTAAAACAAATACAAATAAAAATTCAAACAGAAAAACAAAATTATGAACATTTATATGAATTATAAAATTATTAATTTTTATTTTCCCCTCTTTTCATTAATATGATTCATAATGCCTATCATTACTATTATTTTCAGTAGTAGTAGTAGTAATATTACTGTAATTATTATATTTATTAACGACAAATTCGCATTGAGCATCTTAGAGCTTCAGCAATTAAATGTTGAGATAAGTTTTATTAGAAAGCAGGGGTAAACTTGATTCGAGAGTTTTTTTTTTTTTTATACTAGCAGAACACCCGCTCTTTAAAAAGGGTGAGAAAAATAAATAATCAATTAATCAGTACTGAACAACACTATGTGATTACGCACAAAACTGAAAAATATAAACCAATATAATTAATAAAGTGAAATAATTCAATTTGTTTTATTACTAACTGAAAACCCAATCCTCTCATGAGGTGAATAAAAAAAATATCAATAAATCAGAATTGAGCAACACTTCAAAATCATGCTCAAATTTGAAAGACATATAATTGCGCAGTTGAAGAGCTTACTTGAAGAACCAGGTAAGTGACATTTATAGGGAAATTAATGAATTAGAGAAAATAACAAAGTGGTTGCATCAATATGGGCATGCTTAGAGTAACATAAGCGGTTTTGGTTTCCCTTTAATTAACACCAGTTTTTCGTATGCTTAAATGATTTTTATTAAACCTTAAGCAGTGGTAAATTTACTTTGACAAAGAATTTTTGGTCCTGCCTCCTAATTAATTGATAATAAAATAGTTCAGATACCACTTTTTTTTGTACCCTATTTTTAGTCTCTTTGAAAATGCCACTTACTTGGTTTTCGCATTAAGCTTTTCAAATAATGAAGCTAAAATAATATCATTTTTTTATTCATCATTAATTTTTGCCCTTACCGGTGGCTCTAGTTTATTAGGTTAAGCGAAACACGTTTCTCGTAGCTCGTCATATCCAGAATAGAGATTAAGTGTATTTAACATCACTTGAAGTGATAATATTGCTCAGGACCAACTCGAGATAATCAAAATTTATCACTATCAAGTGTAATTTTCTCCGGTACGTAACACTTTTAAATAGTCGTAAAACACTTATTTCCACAATATTCGGTATTAAAATTACTTTGTATAAGTCCAGTTTTAGTAATCACCAAGTTTATCAATATAATACTTTAGTACATTTGGTACTTATTACATGAACCTTCATTTGAGTTTCGTGCGAAATACATTTATGAGTGTCAGCAAACTAAAGCTGGAATTTTAAAAGCAAAGTTCTTTTAAGACCTTGAAAAGGATTCTAGAGCACTCGCATTTCTTTATCTGACCTCTAATATTTATAAGTTGAAGAGGTAAAATTTTCTTTTAATTTTAACTCATTAAAATATTAATACACCATCTTTGTTACTGCAGTAAAGAAATATTTTCTGAAGCTACGTTATAGTCAGTATTCTTATTAAAACTGCACCAATTACCATAAAGGTTGTACAGATTACCAACATTAATTAAGCTTCAACATATTACGGAGATTTTCTAAATTTCGTCCATTAACTTTGCTTTTTATTACATAGCTAATTTATATTTCAATTGATTCATATAACATATATTAGTGAAGCATTCGTGTCAATAATAACATGGG